CGTCTCATCCTCCCCGGTGAGCTCGCCAAGCACGCCGTGTCCGAGGGCACCAAGGCCGTCACCAAGTACACCACCTCGACTGCCTAAGCGCCTCTCCTCGCCCGTCCGTGAGCATCTGCTCACAGGCAGGCAGCCAACCAACAACCTGCGCTCTTATTAGAGCGCACCCCCCTCCCTTGCAGTGAGGGCAGAATAACACATCGATCAACCGCCTGCTTGACCTGTCTACCTTGCCTGCCATGTCTCCTCTCGCCCACCGCCACCACTGCTCTACTCTGGTCTGCCCACTCACCCACGCCATGAACGACGCGTACCACCTCCCACACTGGCACAGCGTGCTGTGGGCGGCCGGAAAGACGCCTGCGGCGGTGACCATTCCGCTGTCGGTGCCCGAGGGTCGTGCCCTTGTGGCTGCGTACCGTGCGCGGGCGCTGTACGCGCGGGGCGCCGAGCCTCATCTTGACGGCCTTGCCGACCGCATCGATGCTGCCCTGGCGTCGATGGCATCAGAGCTTGGCTCTTCGCCCGCAGCCTTTGTCCGCCTCACAACTCGCTCGCCAAAGGACGCTGTCCTGCGCTCGCCCGCCCTGCAGGCCTGGCTCAACGAGGCCTTTCGCGAGGCTGCTGTTGTCTGCACCGATGCCGATGCCGACGCCGACGCCCGGCAGATCAATGCCGACACCATCGGATGGTACGCGGCCATGGTTGATGCCATGCGAATCGAGTCGGCGGCAACAGCGCTTGATCTACTTGTCGACTCGCATAGAGTGTTCACCGATGTGTCGCGGTGGCTGGCGGCCCGCGATGCCGGTCAGACGGATGGCGCCGGCGCTGGCATGGGTGTGGTAGTCCGAAACTGGCTTCCTATTGCGCCGGTCACCGAGTTTCGCGCTTTTGTCCGCCGCAACGTCCTTGTTGCTGTCTCGCAGTACATCGACGTGGTGTGCTTTCCAGAGTTGGCCGTGCCCGGCGCTGCCGATCTTGTCGGTCGGCGCGCCACGGCCGCAGTCAACGACCTGCTGCCTCTGCTCGAGACTCTGTCCTTCCCGGACGACTCGGTCGTCCTCGATCTGGTCCTCCCTCTCGACGACGACGCTCAGGCCTTTGTCATCGAGTGCAATCCCTACACCGTCAAGACTGGGCCTGCACTCTTTGACTGGAAGCAAGACGCGCCGCTCCTCCTCGCCGACGATCCTGCTGCTGTTGTAGCAGCCGCTGGCGGGCCCGAGGTCCGGCTCATCACCTCACTTGCTCAGCGGCGGATGAAGGGCTTTATCAACCCGCGTGCGGACCATCTCGCCGTCCAGGTGGCCGCATCGCCGCCCTCGCCCTCGCCCCCACCTCAGCTTGCCATTCTCGCCATTGCAGGCCTCATCTCGCTTGCCTGTCTCGCCCTCGTCGCCTGGACCTTGCACTCGATGACCACTGATGCCCGATACTGGGTAGGCGTGTAGCCTTTGCCATCGACCGCCCGCCATCCGCCGCGCCTTTGCCATGTCGAAGAGTTCTGCTATCGCCCGCTGCTTCGATAAACAACTACGCCATCAACACGGTTGACGGTCACCCCTCTCTCCCACTTGGCCTCCGCCTCCCACGCCGTCAGCCTCCCACCGCCCCACCGCTGCCACTCCCCTCCCCCCTCCCCCCCCCCCTCCCCCCTCCACATACACGCATATGTCCCTCGCCACACAACGCCTGGCTGCGGCAAGCGCAACCCTCGACGCAGTGGTCCGTCATGTCGACGGAGCACTGGCCGAGGCCGACGCAGCCTTGCTGGCCTCGACCGCGAGCGAGAACGTTGCTCACTTTGGCCAGGCGGAAGCGGAAGCATCATCGACTGCACGGCCGTGGTTGTCGTCAGCACGAGCATCAGAATCATCCAGATCATCACCAGTCACGTACATCTCTTCGGCCACCCGTCATTTTGAAGCCGAAGATGCAGAGGCCGAACTGGCATCGGTACTGTCTCCGGACGCGCCCTCGGCTTCCTCGCCGCCACCATCCTCGCTCCCGGCAGCCTCGCCGCCCCCGCCTCGAGCGCCACATGACTCGCCAGGCGCACCGTCTCTGTCGCGCTCGCTCCCGCAGGCCGGAGATGTTTTCGATGTGGACATGCCGTCGTCGATGCGCCTGCTGCGCGAGTTTCACGCCGACCGCCTCCCACGCTCACCGTCGTCGCTCGCCGCTGCCTACCGTTCCTCCCACCCGCCACTGCCCTCCAGTCCAGCGCACCTGGCCACAAGTCCGACTGCTAGCCGCCCGGGCCCGACGCCACCGGTTGCTGCGTCCGAGGCCCGTGTGAGTGTGCGCGATGCGCTGGCTTCGGCTCGGTCGCGTCTCAATACTCTGGAGCTGCTCGCCAAGACTGCCGCGAGCCAAGCGCTTGCCGCACCGGCTCCGCCAGTCCCGCACCGCCCGCCTGTCGAAGACTATGCTCCGCGGCGCGACGTCATGCCGCACATCGTCCCGGAGCCGCTGCCGCACTATCGGCTCGGTGGCACCTGCAGGATCAACGTCGCACGGGCGCTCGATGCCGCCACCCGTCCGCTTCCAAGCTCGCGCTATGTAGCCACTCGTCCGTGGCGGCCGCAGTACTCGAGCTCCTTCCGACATCCGGACGATCCGGTGCCGTCGTGGCGGCGCGAGGCGCAGACCATGGTCACCTCACGGCGGCTGCTCTCGTCTTCGATCCCGCTTGCCAGCCGGCCTCTCGGCGTGCCTTCAGACCCGCACCTCGGGTCAGACTCGTACCTCGGTCCGCGTCCGTCCGAGTACCTCTTCCGCCGCACCTTCCGCCGCTCGCCCTCGCCGACCTCGCCCGAGTCGAACAAGGCTGTGCTAGCCCAGGTCGCCGACCTCGCCTCGAGGGTTGAGGCGCTTCACGCCTCGCTCAAACCGCCGCCATCGCCGCCATCACCTGTCTCGTCCCGCCGTGATGGTAGTGCTACCCTTGCGTCGTCGCTGCTCTCTGTATCGCAGCTTCCGTCTTCGTAGCTCTGCAGCGAGCGGCTTAGCTCGCTGCTGCCACGTGCCGTGACACGTGGCAACAATTTTAACATGCCCGACCTCACTGCCCACTCCGCAACTCCGCCTTCCCCGCCTCCCCTCCCTCTGCTCCCTCCTCCCTCATACCGGCATCTCCACCAACTGCTATCCTTGCCACATATCCCCAAGCTGATATCTTTCGTCCGGCGTTGCAGGAACTGAAAGGTGAGAGTTTGCCACACGCCGTTACAAGGTTGTCAAGATTACAAATTTGCTCACCTGCGGCTCACAGAACAACGTTTGCCGCTGACCCGGCACGGAAACACCCACCTGTCCAACCGAGTCACCCATACGCCACCCGCATCGCCCTCGTCTCCACGGAGCACCTCCCTTCCGACGTGTTGCGGTAGACGGGTAGACGTGCGGGTATCTACGTCCCTCACCCTACACAAAAACCACTCCGCACACACACACACACGCGCGCGCATACACAAAGTCTCTTTCTCCTCTCTCTCCCCACACACACCTATCCCGTCAGCTCTGGTCACGTATCGCCACCTCCTCTCGACTCGCCCTCAGCTGGCGCGACAATCGATATGGGACGACGGAGAAAGCGCTCGTCCAACACAGTGGTACCATCTGGTGGGCTACTCACACATGCTGGCAAGAATGGCGAGCGGGCGGCGGGCATGCCTTTAAGGCCAGGGAATGGGCTGAATGGTAATCAAGGCTCGCTTGGCCATGGCCTGTCAGCCGCTGGCTATGCTGCCGCGGCCACGCGCGACCGCTCGAGCTCGGCTGCAAGCTCAAACCACTCAAAGTCATCGACTGGCTCACACGTCATGTCATCTCTCCCAGGCTTTTCCACCGGCTCGGCCTTTGGCCATAGCCGTGGTGGTCCTGGTGGTCTTGGTGGCCCAGGTAGTCCTGGTGGTAGTCCTGCCGCAGGCCGCTACGGGCATGCTCGGGCGTACACCCAGGGCACCACGCCGGTGCCACGGATCCAGATCTGCGACTCGCTGTCGTCGAATCCGTCGAGACTTGCCGAACTAGTATCGGCTGGAGAGCTGGAGGTGGCCAACGGCAACTTGGCCTCGCTCGGCTCGACCGACCTCGGCTCGACCGACCTCGCCCAAGCTTCGAACAGCCCACCAAGCGATTTGCGCGCTGGCGGTGGGTGGGATACCGGCGAGGTCAAGGAGGCGCGCCAGGCACTAGATTGGTTTGAGGCGGCCGAAAAGAGCGTGCCTGTCAAGATCGACACTGCATTTGGGCGGCCAATCCGTGAGTGGCTTCAGTCTCCGTGGACTCGCGCTATGCTCATCGGCCTCACTACGCTCATGATAATCCTTATCGGCCTCTTTGTTGTCCTTCTCATCTCATCGCACACCACCGACGCGTTCTTTCCCGCACTCGGCGCGCTCGCCACACTCGCTCTAGGCGCGTACCTCATTGTTGCGCGACGAGCGTGGTCGCTCGCCATTGTCGTTCTCCTCTGCACCATCGGCGGCCTTGTCACCGTCTACCTCTACGTGCAAACGACTGGCTTCTCTCACAGCCACTTTCTCGCCGCTGCCGTCCTCATTTTCAGCGTTGTCCTTCATCTCGTCTCGCTTTGGGCTGCCACAGCAATTGGCTCGTGTGGTGTAGTCGTGGCGATGGCCGCCACCGCATGGACGCCAACTCAGGGCACCGGCTCGGTGGCTTCCGCCTCACAGCTCACTCTCGCCGTTGTGCTCTGCGCCATCCAGCTCGGCACCAAGGTGTACTACGAGCGCGTGCTGGGCTCGGTCATTGCCAAGGCCAAGACCGCAGCTACCTTTGCTGAGTCGACTGAGGAGGCCATCATTCTCGCCCTCAAGGGCCGGGTCATCGCATGGTCGCCGACCGCGGGCCGCGTGTTTGGACCCAAGATTCGTCTCCTCGCCACCGTCCTCGGCCTCTTTGACCAGGCCTCGCACAACGACATCGAACGACTCTACCACAACGCCAACGAATCGCGCGTGCCGCGCAACGTCAATCCGGCCTTTGCGCGGCCGGTAGGCTTCGGCTCCAACTCGTCGTACATGTTCAACGCCACGCTTGCCACCCCGCGTGCCGCGGCTGCCGCCTCGGGCGAGCAGTTCCTCAACACCACTGCGTCTGTCGAGTCCTTCCTCTACGATATGCTCCACCTCGCCCGCGGCTGCAAAGTCTACGCCCGCGTCGCTAACGGCATTACCCTCCCAGCCACGCTGATGTGTAAGCAGGTAGTCCACGAGGGTCGCAAGGCCTCGCTCTTCATCCTCCGCTTTCGGCCATCCCAGCTTGGCCTCTCCGATGTCGGGATCCAGGCCGGACGAGCCCAGCCTGAGTCGGTGCAGGGCGGCGGCTCGTTCTACCTCGGCGGGCCGACCATGGAAGCGTCGGGCCTCACCGCACGCACCATGTCCGAAGTCTCGGTCTCCAACTCAGGTATCGGCATCACTGGGCTGCCGGCATTGTCGCACGCCGGAAGCTCGGGCCCGATCGACTCGTCGAAGCTGCAGTTGACGCCGTCGCAGACGCCACAGCGGACCGCCGAGCAGGCCAAGTCGCTCTGGATTTCATCTATCTCGCACGAGTTCCGCACTCCCCTCAATGCCATCTTTGGTATGGTTCAGATCCTCCGCGAGTCGTCGTCGTTCACCGCCCAAGAGCTCGAGTACTTCAACATCATCACTCATGCCTCGCACACCCTCCTCGGCCTCGTTAACGATCTCCTCGACTTTTCCAAGATCGAGTCCGGCAAGCTCCAGATCGAGTCGGTAGAGTTTAATCTCCGCCAACTCGCCACAAAGTGCCTACACTACGTCTCGGCCACCGCAGTCTCCAAGGGCGTCGAGCTCCTCACCAACATCTCCAACTATCTGCCCGAGACCGTCATCGGTGATCCCAAGCGCGTGCACCAGGTCATGCTCAACTTCCTCTCCAACGCCATCAAGTTTACCGAAGACGGCCAGATCGTCATCGAAATTCAGGTCCTCGAGTCGTCGCCCGAGACCCTCTCAGTCTGCGTCTCGGTCAAGGACTCGGGCATCGGCATCCAGGCCTCCAAGATGACCCAGCTCTTCCAGGCCTTTTCCCAGCTCGACCGTTCAGTAGCTCGCAACTATGGTGGGACCGGTCTTGGCCTCGCCATCTGCAGGCAGCTCGTCAATCTCATGGGCGGCTCCATCGGCGCAGACTCGAAAGAGCGCAAGGGTTCCAACTTTTGGTTCACTCTTGCCCTCAAGCTTCCGCCGTCGACTCACTACCCGCTCCGCAAGGTATTCTCCGTTGCAAAGTCGGCAAACCAGCACGTCCTACTCTGCTACGCCAACAAGGCAGTCACCACCTCGATCTCGGACGCGCTCCGCTCGTGGGGCTTTACCGTCACCTCGGTCACCACACTCCGCACCGCCATCTCGCTGGTCGCCTCGGAGCCGAAGCGCTTTTGCTTCTTCATTCTCGACGCAAACGCGCTCTCGCTCAAGCGCGTGGCGACAAAGTACAACAGCCTACCATCGCCGCCGCCGCTGCTGGTCATCACGGCCCAGGGCCAGTTCACCACGCACCAGATCAACGCTATCACCAAGGTCCCCGTCATGTACAAGCCGCTTGAAGAGGTCACCCTCTTCCGCACCCTTGTCAACCAGCTCCGTCTCCGCCCGACTGGAACCTTTACCGGCACCGCGTCGGATGCAAACGAGATGGCTATTGTTGGCGCCTCGCCGTCGATCGGTCTAGGCTCGCACCTTCACCAGGACGGCTCCGAGGCTTGGTACGAGTCAGTCCTCAACTCTTCTGGCACCTCGGGCAACGTCCGCGGCACTTCGTCGCGCCCGCCCCTTCCAAAGGCCACCAACTACTCGTCATCACAGCGGGGCGGCTCGAGTTCGGCTCTCTCGGTCGCAGGCAAGTCATCGTCCGCCGAAATGCGCCTTGCTCTCGCGCTCGTGGATGACAACGCCGTCAACAACATGATTATGGCACGGTTCCTCGTCTCAGTCGGCGTACCAAAGCCGTGCATCCAGTCGTTTACCTCGGGTGAGGCCTTCCTTGCTGCTGCCCGCGAGACCCTCTTCTCCATTGTCTTTTGCGACATGCAGATGCCCGACGGCCTGTCGGGCTTTGAGACCCTGACTCAGCTCCGCACTCTCGAGTGCGATCTGAGTCTGGAGCCGGCCGCCGTCGTCGCGCTCACCGGCATGGACCCTGACGAGATTCGGGACTCCCTCGAGCCGCTAGTCGTCCTTGACATCATTGTCAAGCCCATCAACATCGATCGCGTCCGCGACGTTTACCACCGCTGCGAGGCTGCGGTCTCGTTTCGCCCTACTCTCACCGCCTCGACATCGACCCTGCACTCGGACGCAAGGTCATCGCGCTACACCGACTCTCGCCAAGGCGTGAGCAATTCGCGCGGCCCGCGCGAGGCTGGCCTCTCCACCGCAACCTCCTCCCGCGCCATCGCTGCCCATGCCGCCACAGCTTCCAGCAGCGACAGCAGCGACAGCAGCGACAGCAGCGACGACTCGGGATCGACCCTTCATTCAGCCAGGACCGCGGTCAAGGCGGCAGCTCACCTCTCCGGAAGCTCGTCTTTGTCCAACGACTCTTTGTCGCCTTCATCATCGGTGTCACCTCCGCCGCCGTCGGCCAGCAACACCTCATCAAGTTTCGCAGTCAACAAGCGCTCGCCTAAGCGGCACGGCAGCGCTTCGACCGGGACCGGAACCAAGAGTGATGTTTCCGGCGCTGGCCTCTCGTCTGCCGAAGCCAGCCATGGCGACAATGGTGGCGACTCTGGCTCGCCAAAGACGGCCAACAGCGCCGCGCGCGGCACGGCCAAGGGCAAGGCCAAGAGCAAGGCCAAGCGCAAGGTGAGAAAGGCGAAGGAAGTCAGGAAAGGCCAGAAGCGCCACAAGCGCCGCACAAGCAAGATGAAGCGTGTTCGGGTGCGGAAGCAAAGCGTCTGCTCCCGCTCTTCCCGCTCAGGCTCTGTATCGTGCTCCAAAGCTACTACCTCGGGTGTCAAGGCCGTAGCAAAGCGCAAGAGCCGGCTGGCCGGATGCCGCCACCATCGCACATCGTCAGCCTCGCCTCCGCGATCGACGTCGGACTCGTCAGTTACCGTCGAGTCGCCGCAGGTTATGTTTGCCACTGGCGCGCAACGCGCCTCTGCCAACAAGTCAGCAGAAGGCAAGCAGCAAGTTGCTCTCGACTCGTCACCTGCAACCTCGCTCGCAGGGTCGTCACAGGCATCGTCGTTGGCGTCGCCTTCTGGTGACTTTAAGAGGCGGTCCGGGCGGTCGTTCACCGTCTCGAACCCGAATGCCATCACGGCAGCGCTCAAGATCATGAGCTCAAACGGGAACTCGCTCGCCGAACTCTCCGAACCGGGCTCGTCCAACAGCTCGCAGCACAGGGAGCGGATCAAGTCCAAGTACGATCGGAAGCGCAAGGGCACGACGCCGTCCCTCTCGATCCTCCCGCGTGGGCAAGGCTCGTCCCAGCTCATCACGCCACGCAACTCGCAACAGAGCAACACCATCCTGGTCGTTGACGACAACGGACTCAACAGACTTGTCCTCTCCAAGCTCGTCCGAATGGCCGGCTTTGAGGTTGAACTGGCCAAGGACGGTCAGGAGGCCGTCGACAAATGGCAGGCCCACGGCTACGTCGCCATTCTCATGGACTGTGTCATGCCAGTCCTGGATGGCTACGAGGCAACCCAGCAGATCCGGCAGCGCGAGGCTGTTCGGCCGTTCCAAACCCACGTGCCCATCATCGCTGTCACGGCCAACGCCCTCAAGGGTGATCGCGCCGTCTGCCTCGAGGCCGGCATGGACGAATATGTGACCAAGCCGGTCATCAAAGACGAGCTCATGTCCAAACTGGCCTCGTTCGGCGTTGTCCCTGCCAGTCGTGAGACTGCGCCAAAGGCGCCAGGCAGCTCTCCGCCCACGCTCCCCAACGCCTCGCCCTCGGATGACTCGGTTGACGCCGAAGGCTCGTCGTCCGGTCGCCCGGCGTGGCCACCCAAAAACGCGTACTGGCTCGTCCCGTCCAACCACGCCCGGCGCCAGTCGGTTTCGGTCGAGATCCTGCCACACTCGCTCTCAGGCTCGTCTGATGGCGACGAGCGCTCGGTTCAGACCCAGAAGCTTGCTGCCCAGCGCTCCGTCCTTGTCCGCGCCGTAGGCAACGATGCCGCAGCCGCCAGCAGCGGCCGGCGCTCCACCATTTCCGCCGCCACGGAAGAAGAGGTCTTCCTCCAACGCCACCACGACGCGTACGAAGAGGTCCAGGGCCGGTCGCGGCTCCAGCACCACACTCTCATGATGCTCCACGAAGGCAGCTAACCGCAGTCCTCCCTGCCACTTGGCTCACTTTATTCCAGATGATCATAGTTGGCAAGCGCGGCCTGGGAAGGCGAGCGGGTGATTCGCGCCGATGCAGCGTCGTGTGGTGCGAGGGCAAAGGCCGGATCCATAGAGTTGCGGAAAGAGTGTGAGATGGTCTGCCGCCGCTCGTGCCAGACCAGCGCAACGAGGAAGATACGAGCTGAGAAAAAGATCGAAACCCACATGAGCTGGCCCGGATCGGACACGCCGTTGAGGACAATGTGGAGGCAGAGGAGGGCGGCAACAACGACAGAAAAGACAAGCTCCGACTTGAACGTCCCGGTGGCGCCCATGTAGTCGCTAAACTTGGTAACAAGCGCGTTGCGGGCCTTGGAGGTCGGCGCCGGCGTCACCGACTTTGCAGACCCGTTGGTGACCCGCGCAGACGAGCCACTCATTGTGATCGAGGCACCCGAGCCGTCGACAAGACCGTACTTTTCGGTCCGCACAAACTCGCCGCCCTTCTTGACCGAGCCCTCAAGCACGGCGAGCGTGTCGTTGTACGCCATGCCGTAGCCAAGGAGAACCAGAAGCGGGAAGGTAGCAATCTCCATCCACGGGATGATCTTCTTGGACAGGATGCAGGTAAAGTACATGGCGGTCGGGCCGAGGCCGACAAAGATGAGAATCGGGGTCAGGTTGCCGACCAAAGTCGAAACTCGATCCGAGTACCAGAAGAGGACGCACGAGGTGAGCGTGGCCAGCGTCATGATAAGATTGATAAAGTAGCCGGCGAGGTGAATGGTACACTGGTACTTGCGCCAAAGCGAGAGGTTGCCCTGCCGCCACACATTGCCCAGGTGCTTGAGCACACACTGGAACGAGCCCTTGGCCCACCGGTACTGCTGCTTCTTAAACGCCGAGACCGTCGGCGGAATCTCGTTGGGTGCGAGCACGTCATTGACGTACACCATCTGCCACCCGCGGAACTGCGCCCGGAACGAGAGGTCGAGATCCTCGGCAAGTGTGTCCTGCGACCACCCGCCTGCGTCCTCGATCGCCTCGCGCCGCCACACACCGCCAGTCCCGTTAAAGTGCATGTAGTAGCCGAGATGCGTCCGCACCCGCTGCTCAATCATAAAGTGGCCGTCGAGCGCCACAGCCTGGATGTATGTCATGAGGTTGTAGTACCGGTTGGTAAAGTCCCACCGGGCCTGCACGCATGCCACGCCCTTGCTGCACAGCTTGTCCTTGTAGTACGGCGACTCCTGGTGCTTGTCGTTGTAAAAGTACGGCAGCGTGTACGCCAGGAAGTCCGGCTCGGGCATAAAATCAGCATCAAAGATGGCGATAAAGTCCGCGTCTGGCTCTAGCCGCATGCCCTCACGCAGCGCCCCGGCCTTGTAGCCGACCCGGTTCTCCCGCCGCACGTGTTCCACACGGAACTTGGTCGGCGCAACCAGGGCCAGAAACTGCTTCACAAGCTCAGGCGTGTTGTCCGTCGAGTCATCCAACAACTGGATGACCAGTGCATGCGTCGGGTACTCGAGCTCCAAGCACTTGCTCAGCAACCGCTCGCAAATCGCGCCCTCGTTGAAGACCGGGAGCTGAATGAGCACCTTGGGGTACTGGATCTCCTCGTCCTGTCAAAACACCATCACCACACAAGCCACCATTCTCGCGTGAGCTTTTCTCCAAGCCCAGCGCCTACCATCCCCATCCGACCACAAAAAGACTGCATGCGCCTTCCTCGCACCGACATGCCACCACCGCCCACCGCTTAAGGGCTCCGTCACACCCGCCACCTTCTCGCACCGCTCCCGGACGCTCTACTTGAATTCTCGATGTCCAACTTGGCAAGCACATAATCATGTACTTGGTCACTCGCACATCTTGTTACCATGGTCATAGCACGTGTCAACAACTCGTACGGGCATCGGGACGGTGGCGGGCAGGCGGGCAGAGCCAAAGTCGAACGAATTTGTAACACCACAAATCCACACCCAGCGGTTGCACGTGGGCATACAGGGGGTGCATGCAAGGGAAAGGCGGGGATTAAAAAGGTGAAAAGGAGATGAAGATGTAGCTTGTAGCTTGTACATGATACGTACCGAAAACTGGAGGTATGGCTCAAGGCGCTCAGGCGGGGCAGGCGGGTAGCTCTGGTCGGAATAGCATCGCTCTTCGCTCCCCGCCTTGAGGAACCAGAAGGAGATGGACATGAACCAATACTGGGCACCATAGAGAAAGAGGAAGACGGTCTGGATGACAAAGACAATGTCAAACGTCCATGCCAGCACCAACCAAATTGTTGATGGGCCCACGCTCTCGCCCATACCGACGCCCGATGGAGTTCCCGCGCTCGTCATCGTTTCACCCCCGCTTGCGAGAGTGCGGTGGCAAGAGGTGAGTCAGGGGGGGGGGGGGGGACACTCTTGGTTGTCGGCCGAGCAGTCGCTCCGTAGGCTCGACGGCTTTTTTTCAGGTTTCCTCGCATTTACTGCGCTGGCCATTATGGCTCACAAGTACAACACCGCGAGAGCACATGACCTTCAATGGCAAAGATAAGGGGACTAGGTGCGAGGCGGTCCGCGCAGATCGGCGCTGTTCTCCACGGCAACCTCCTCGACAGCGCGCTTGGCAAGGGTGGCGACTGAGGGAAAAGCGGCCCAGAGCTCGGTGAGGTCGTGGGCGAGCGAGTGAAGATCCATGGTGGCCCGAATGTACTGCCGATGCTTGTCGTCGACGCAGAGCCGGATGGTAATGTAGAAGAGGATCCAGGCAATGCGGTAGTGGTGTTGCGCGCCGGTGGTGGCAAAGCGGAAGAGCGAGTCGATGAGATGGGTTGGAATGAGGTGGACGGCTTCAGGCGCTCGCGCCATCGAGTTGAAGCACCACAGTGAGGCCAGGATCTTGGAGATCTCCTTCTCCAGCTCACTCAAAAAGTTGTCCATTCCGAGGTCGAGCCGGGCCTGGAGAAGCCGCGCAAACTTGCCGTCGCCGCATGTCATGAGCGCCACTGCGTTGGGCGGATGGACGCAGAGATTGCCTAGCCCACGCAGACCGTTGCGATACAGGTCGCCCTTCATGTACTCGGAACTTTGCCAACGCTCGAGGATCTCCACAATGTCGGCGACCGCACCCAGCTCGCCGAAGCGGACCTTGTTCTGGACAGTCAGCGCCATAAAGGCCGTCGCGTTGACAACCTCGTTGGCAAGCGTCACGTTGCCAACCACCTTTTCAGCGCGGAGCAGTCGCACGAGCTCGTCGACCATGCCGATGTCGCGGAGGTGGTCGCGGTTGTCATCGTTATACGCGACCCGAACCAGCAGCCGCAGCGCACCGAGGAGCAGCCTGCACGACGCGTTGCTGTCCTGGAGAATGGCTAGCACGGCGTGCCCGCCGCCCTGCATCCGTACCGCCACCTTGCCTTCGTCCGAGTCGGTGATGCGGTGGAGCATGTCGATGGAGACCTCAAGCACGCTCGAACTGCCACAGAGCGCGTGGACGTTGGCCATGACCCGAAGCACTGACGCCGCCAGGCTGTAGAGCGACGATCGCGGCGCCGAGCCGAGCGCGGCTTCGTCAAACTCGTCCGAGAGTGTGGCAATGAGCTGCCCGACTTCCTCGCAGATTCCTGCGTTGGCGTCGAGCCGCGCGCTGAGCTCCTTCAGCCGCCGCGTCCGCTTGTTGTGCTCTGTCCGCCAGAGCTGGTCCTGGTCAAAGGCCTCGACCCGAGCGCGGACGCCGACGTTCGAGTACGTCTCCCGCGACGTTGCAGACTTGATGCTGACCGACTCACCCTGCCACGGCGCGAGGCGGCCCCAAGCTTGCGACGACTCTTGCGCGTGTACAATGTGCTTCAGCAAGACGGCCGCAAACACTGCCGCGCTTGGCCGCTCGCTCGGATTCTTGGCCTCAAAAGTGGCGTTGAGCAGCTCGATGACATCTGGCGGTGTCCGCGCGTCCATCAGCCCGGGCGGCGCGTAGTAGTTGTCTTTGCCGCGCTTGCCATCGTACGGCAGCGAGAGCGCGCCGAACGACATGTAGAAGCACGCCCAAACGACCACTCCCAGCGACCACAGGTCAGCATGCTGTGAGATGAGCGGGCCGGAACCGTCGAGCACCTCGGGCGCTGCATAAAGCGGGTGCAGCTTGGCGCGAATGACCTCGGGCTGCCGAGTGATGACCATTAAAAGCTGGGTCACTCCATAGTGCGAGATCCGGACCGTCCCAATTTCGTCAAACAGCACGTTGGCCGGATGCAAGTTGCCGTGCACAATGCCGAGCTCGTGGAGCCGCTCCATGCCGCGGGCAATCTCAAATGCGTAGTACAGCGGAATCATGCGCGAACCCATCATCTGGTCCGATCGCAGCGCGTCAAAGAGCGACGTCGGTTCCATGACTTCGGAGACCATGAGCAGCTGCGGCGGCGACGCCGACATCGCCACACCTACCGTTGGCACTGTGTTGGGGTGCGAGACGCCGCACATCATGCGCAGCACGTCCAGCAGCGCCTCTGTTTGGCCCTGCGTGACGCCGCCAAGAGGAAAAGCCTTGACCATGACGTCTGAAAACAAAAAATGGCCGCGGTACGTCGGCGTCATCGGCCGCGCGCCTGTCGAGTCAACAGGCCCGTCCTCATCCTCGAGCACCACAAGCTGCGGGTCGATCATGTACACCACCTCGGTCGGGATCTTGAACACCCGTCGCATCAGCCGCGGTGTAGACTCGGTGCCAGAGACCCGGCACATGAACGACATTCGCGCCTCGTGCGCTCCAGACAGCATCGTCTGCACTGTCTTGTACGCCTCATTCGCAGCCCCAGCATCAAGCCCGCTTTCCTCGCCCGACGCCCGACCGGCTGTCGACGACTGCCCGCCCCACCCTTGTGACGCGGTCCCAGTCGACTCGAGTGACCGTGGCACTATCACTGTGGCGTCGACATCGACATCGCTGCTAGTCGAGCTTCTCGTGCCGCTCTCTTCGGTTGACGAGAACGAAGCCGACGACGACTCGTCCACACTCTCCTCGCTCCCACCGTACGAATACTCGGTTGCCTCCAACGAGAGCATGGCATCCGACGACGACTCCAGCTCCACCGCCACCATCACCTCGCCTGACATGTCAGCTCGACCGCCAGAGATAGAAGTCGACGTAGACTCGATCTCAATCGCAAGGTGCGGGCTCTCAAGCCCCAGCGACTCTACCGAAGTGTCCGGCGAGACATGCGGCGAGCTAGCCGGCGAGCGCTTCGACTTGCGCCCAGCCCTCATCCGGCTACGCGACTTGAGCCGCGGCAGCGCTAGCGAGTTGCACTTGTCGCGCTCGGCCTCTTTGGCAGCCGTGATGAGCTGCTTGATCGTCTCCACCCACTCAGCGCGGACCTCCTCGGTCGGCGCCACCAGCAGACACTCGCGCGACTGCATCGTGCCGTCGGCGGCATCATCATGCTGGGTAAATGAAAACTTGTATGCAGACTGCACCAGGTCGTGGTCGATGCCGTCCTCGGCGTCAACAGCACCGCTCGAGCTCGCCGAGTACTCAAATGACGCCGAGCAAGTCGACGAGAGGCTGCTGCTCACCCTTCCAGCCGTATCAGCTGCAACAACCGGCACGACGCTCGAGTCTGCCATCGCTGGCGCCGAGCGCGAGAGGCTGCCCGTCAAAAGATCGGTCTGAGGCGCCGGCGGGGAGCGTGGGCGGTTAACTTTCCGCTTGGCGGATGACCCACCCTGCTTGCCTTGCTTGCCTTGCTTGCCTCGCCGCGAGCCGCGAGTGACCTTGCCAAACCTGTTGCGCTTGGCACCGGCCCGGCGCTTGGCTTGCTTCCCGCGCATCTGCGGTGGCCGCGCGCCAGCCGCGATATCAGTCTGCCGACGCCTCCGGCGCCCGCCAGCCCTGTAGGACGAGCGCGAGACCGTGAGAGCAGCGAGGTGCAATGACAGGCGGTGGGCGTTGCCGAGGCCCCGGACAACTACGTCCTCGGACCGCATGGCCTCGAGCTTGGACACCGACGGCGCTGTGGTCCACAGCAAGCCTTGGCGCGCCCCTCACTCTCGTACAGCGTGACAGTAGTGGTGGCGGTGATTCTCTCAACCGCACGTGGCCGCTTGAGCTTCAGCGCTGAGGCCTTGTCGAGCCAGACCTTGACGTAAAAGCCCTCGATGGCGACAAAGCGGCGGCGCCACTTGCCCTTGGCGGCGCACCAGTTGACGTCGGTGCACTTGGAGGGCTTGGCAAACGGGCGCTTGAAGAGAAAGCCGCCAATGATCATGCCGTTGGCCTCGAGCAAAAGCTTGCGCATGCCCTCAGAGTGCGCATGGCAGAGCGGCGTCTTGCCATTCAGATCCATGTCGCAAAGCGGGATGCCCAGCCGAACAAGCTTGGCGGCCAAGTCGAGGTCATCGGCCATGGCGGCGAGATGGAGCGGCGAGCGGTGGGTGACTACGCCGCGAGTGGCGAGGTAGTGTGGCATGTACGTCTTCTGCTTCCAATGGGCGTGGGCAAGCGCGCACTCGCCGCCAAAGGCCGAGCGCAGCGCCGCCACGTCGCGGGCGTCGATGGCAGTCTGCAGTTGGACCAGCCGGCGGCCGAGCATGAACGCGTTGACCATGTCCAAAAAGGTCGGGCGGAGGCCAGGCGAGGCTACAAATGCCTGCTCCAGCACTCGAATGACCGGCGCCGGCCACGGAATGATGATGTCGTCGTCAAAACCGGCGACTGAGACTTGGACGGCCTTGCGGACCGAAGGCTTGCCTGCCCGCTTCCGACTCGTGCTCGAGCCCGATCCAGTCGAACTCAGCGGGGTCTGGACCGAGCGGGTGTGCGAGATGCGGGCGTAGTTGCGTGACGGCCGCGCCCAAGGCCGCGACTCGGTCCCACCGGCAGCCACGTGCCAGGTCTGCGATGAGTCGGACGCGAGCGAGTCCATCGAGCCGACTGAGCCGTTCGCGTCGCCAAGGGTGAGAGAGGACGACAAAGGTACAAAAGGTTTGAGCGGTGCGAACTCAATCGACGGGCCCGAAGAGAGGCCCGAGGCCTTGGAGAGCTCCAACGGGCCGGGGATCCAGTTGTAAAAGTTGCCCGGCGCCGCGTAGACGTCGGCCCGCAACGAATCAGGTCTGATCGAGGTGAACGCCTCCCACGCCAGAGTGGCAAACGACCACACGTCCGCCGGTTTGTCGTTCTGCTGGGCGCGCAGGACCTCAGGTGCCATGTACGCCCGCGTCCCACAGAAAACCGTGCTCGTGTCCGAGATGTCGGTCGTCGACAAACCAAAGTCGGCGACCTTGGCCGTAAAGTTGGCGTCCAGCAGCACGTTTTCCGGCTTGAGATCACGATGCACCATGCCGCGCTCGTGCAGGTACGCCATGCCCTTGCAGATGTCCAGCAGGTAGTTGAGCTGCTCGTCGCGTGAAACAAAGCCGTGTCTGTGGATAACATCCGAGAGGTCGCCATTGGGACAGAACTCGGTCACCATCGCCAGCGCGTTGACGTTGAGCGAGGCACCAAAGAACCGGATGCAGTTGGGGTGCGAGATCTTGGAAATGGCCGTCACCTCGGCCACAAACCGCTGCACAACTTCGGCGGCATCGACTGCAGCGTGCAGATTGAGCATCTTGACAGCCACCGTCTGCCGCATGTACCGCGCACGGTAGACAGACCCAAACGCTCCGCGACCGAGCAGCTCGGACGTTTCTGCGCTCAGATCAATGTCATACTCCATGACAACTTCGGAGCTCGCTACGCCTTGGTCGACGCCAACATCAGATCGCGACGACGCAGCAGATGCAACAAACGACGACGACGACGACGATGACAAACATGACGTAGCCGATGGCGGCGGCGATGTTGAGGAAGGCGAGAAAGACGCCGAGGATGAAACGAGGAAGGCTGCTGCTCCTTCTGCTTCTGCTTCTGCTTCTGCTTCTGCTTCTGCTGTCTGTCCTCCTCGTCGCCTCTGGTCTTGGATTGAGACGCCTTGCGGGACGCCGACGTGCCGGTCTTCATGGAGGATGCCTTGCTGGTCTTGCGAGACGACGACCTGCTGTTGGTTGCCACCGACGACGACGACGACTTTGGTCGCCGAATACGTAGCGAGAGGAACGGCTGCTGTGCCGACTCAAACTCGACCGCAATTTCGTCACCAAGATCCTCCATCTCATGTTCCTTTCCCCAACTCATGCTGCTAAGGAGGGGAGGGGGTGGGGAGTGGGGGAGGGGGAGGGGAGTGGGTAAGTGTGTTTGTGGGGGAGGGAGGGGTAACGGAGTGGAGAGTGATGACCACGAGCGGGATCGTGCGACTCTCCTCTTTGCGAGTCTGTTGATCAAGAGAACGAACATGTTTGCGGAAGCAGCGGCTTTTTACTACCGGGTCAGCAATGCAATTTCGGCATGATCTCGACCATATCAAATTGGATACGCGTGATGGTAAATTTTTGGTGTCCAAACCCTCACCCACGCTCTCATTCGCTTGCTCAACTCCGGCCGGCAGCAGGCCAAACCCCCTCCCCTCTCCGCGCTCGCGACTCGTGAACAGCGACAACACGTTCGGTGGTCCACACCTCACGCAGCGTCTGGCAGAACAGGTGGATATGTCGTGGACGGAGATGCTACCGGAACCACTGTGCTCGCTTCCTCCGGACCAAGCCGCCAATGTGGTGTGTATGGTGGCGGCGTATCCGCTGGCGCTGGTGGCCGAGCCGCTGGCGAGCAGCGTGGCTAAGGCGACAGGAGCGGGCATGGCCAAGGCACGGATGGGAGTGGGATCTGGCATCGGACTGGCATTCTGTCTTCTTGCGCTGGGAGTGAGGGGCATGGCCGCGTTGTTTACTCCGCTAGCAGGCGCATGGCTCCTGCTGACTACCCTGCCCAAGGCCTACGTCCATCTCGGCGTCCTTGTCTTTATGCTCACAGCGCTCAGCTGCGCCCATGCGTGGCGGATGTACACAGATCCGTACGGGTGGACGCTCGACTTTACCGGCCCGCTGATGATTGCCACTGTCAAGGTGACGTCAATGGCGTTCTCCGTGGCCGATGGGGTCAACAAGCCATGGGCGGTTCTCGACAGCGACGGGCACAAGATCGGGCGCGGATACGCGGCAGTCCTCCGGTCGTGGCAGGCGCTTGCCCTGGACGCACCGCCGACGCTGGAAGAGTACATCTCGTTTCTGCTGTACTTTCCGGTGGTCCTTGCTGGGCCTGTAGTCGACATGCGGGCGTATCTGCAGTTGGTTCGTTGCGGGCCCCAGGCCTCGCTGGCCGCCCGCAGCTGGGAGGCTGTCAAGCGGCTCGGTCTTGCGATTGGGTGCTACGGCGTCTTTGTTCTCCTCTCGGAGCACTTTCCGCAATCGCTGTACTTTGATCCGGCCTTTATCGGAGAGCACTCGCTCGGCTACCGGGCGCTGTACATGTACCTGGCCCAGACCGGGCTGCGGTTCCGGTATTACTTTGCCTTTGCGCTCGCTGAGGGCGCTTGCCGTGGTGCTGGGCTCGTGGCGGTGACCAATGTCGACATTGTCGCTATCGAAACAGCGCAGAACTTCAAGGTCGCTGTCGAGAACTGGAACATCGGCGTCGCCCGGTGGCTCAAGCTCTACGTTTACCATCGTGTCGCGCCGGGCTCGTCGTTCATCAACGTGTTGGCAACCAACGTGGCCGGTGCCATCTGGCACGGCTTCTACCCGGGCTACTACCTCGCGTTCCTTCTCGGCTCGTTCTGCACCCAGTTCTCGCGCCTCGTCCGCCGCAAGCTCCGGCCACACGCGCTGGCGGCTGGAACGTGGGTCAAGGCTGGCTACGACACCGTCGGTTGGGCCGGCTCGGCGCTCATTCTCGGCTACGGCTCTGTCCCGTTTACCCTCCTCCGGCTTGACCAGACGCTTGACGTATGGAGCGCACTGCACCACTGCGTCCCTTGGCTCATCTTCCCGGGCCTGGTCCTGCTGATGGTGCTACCATCGCCGGAGCGAGTGCGGCGCAAAACGGCATAGCTCACGGCTTCAGCACGAGAAACGGATGGACGAGCGCCTCGGCAGCCTCGATGCGGCGGTTCGGGTTGCGGGTGAGGAGTTTGTCGAGCAAGTCAACAGCCAGAAGAAGCGGCGAGTCGGGACTGGCCCAGCGCGAGACGTACGCCATACGCTTGACGATCTCCTGGTAGCCAAGAAAGTCGTCGTCATCGTCGCTCTCGTCGTCGCCGCCGTCGCTGTCGCCAGCCTCAGTCCGGGCAGATGCAAGCAACTTGTTGCCGAGGAGGATGCCTGCAGACCAAACGTCAACCTTGTGGTTGTACGGGACTCTGTCCGAGCTGCGAACCTTGGACGGCTGGACCTCGGGTGCAAAGTAGCCAGGCGTGCCGATACGCCCGAGCGGGAGCTCGCCAGCACTCGGGTCGGCGATGTTGTACTCTTCAAACGCCGAGTCAAAGTCGATAATGACCAGGGCCTGGCGTGCGCCGTCAAACACCACGTTGTCGTCCTTGATGTCGCGGTGGATGAGCGAGAGCGCATGGAGGCGAGCTATGCCGGCCAACAGCTGGCTCGTGTAGCTCTGCGCCGCAGCGAGCGAGTCGGCGATAAACTTGGTGCTTGCATCAACAAACTCGGTCACGAGCACCTTGGCCCGCAGCTCGGGAAAGTACCGCGACCAGACAAGCTGTTGTAGGCCGGGCTGACCGCGAACCCGCTCCAGCACGCGCTCCTCACGCGAGTCGTCCGGATCCTCTAGACTCATCTTGACTGCCACAGGCACAAGATCCAGAACCTTGGCCTCGCCGTCGTCGACCGCCTCCAGTGCCTGTGGTGCATCTTCCGGCTCTGGAGACGAAATGGTCTCCAGCCGTGGTCCGCCATAGCCGGCCTTGAACACCGCGTTGGTCGATGCCGTCGCCAGACAGTGCTCAAAGTCGCACACAATCTCGCGCCGAATCGCCATCTTGACTTGCAGGATCCACACTCGTTGCGCCTCCTTCTCAAACACGCCAATCGACGAAGACGACGAGGAGGAGGAAGAGTCGAGCGACGACGAGAACCGCAGCTCAGGCGGCAGCTCCACTGAAGATGACGAGTTAGAAGATGACGATGACGAAGAAGAAGAGGAAGAAGAGCTTGAGCTCATGCGGCGACTGCCTGGATGCCCGTAGCCGGGCACAAGCCCCGGATGGAGGATAGGGCCGGCAAACGGCATGTATCCACGGCCGTGCATGAGCGCTCCGGCCATCTCTGGCGGAGGGAACGGTGGAATGTGCGGCGGGGGTGGAGACCGGGATCGCGACGAGGACGACGACGACGACGACGACGACGAGGACGACGAGGACGAGGACGAGGATGACGAGGACGAGGAAGATCCGGCCGCCCACTGCAAGATGGCCGACTCGTCGTTGGCAACAACGGCAGCCGCAGCCGCCTGGGCCGAGACAGCGTCGGCACGGGCACGATCCAGTTCAGCCAGCACCACAGCGGCGTGCGCCTCTGTCCGCGCCGCCTTGCGCATCCGTCGCTCATGCTGGGCCTCGGCCTCGGCAGCTGCTTCGGCCGCCTTGGCTGCCGCCGCCTGCGCATGCCGCAGCGCCGCCGCCTTGCGCTTCTCGGCGTCTTTAGCCTTGGCCTTGGCCTTGGCCTTGGCCTTGGCCTTACCTTTGCCCTTGGCCTTGGCCATAGCCTTGACCTTGCCTTTCGCCTTGGTCTTGCCTTTCGCCTTGGTCTTGCCTTTCGCCTTGGTCTTGCCTTTGGCCTTTCCCTTTCCCTTTCCCTTGGCTTTGGCTTCGACCTTGGCCTTGGCCTTGTCCTTGTCCTTGTCCTTGTCCTTGTCCTTGTCCTTGGCCTTGGCCTTGGCCTTGACTTTGCCCTTGCCCTTGCCCTCCTTCGATCCCTTCTTACCCTTGCCATCAACCTTGCCCTTACCCTTGCCCCTGCCCTTGCCCTTGTTCTTGCCCTTGTTCTTGCCATTGTTCTTGCCCTTGTCCTTCCCCTTGCCTTTGCCCTTGCCCTTGCCCTTGCCCAGCAGATGGTGCTTGTGTGCTGGCTCTTGTTCGGGATCAGCATCGGGGGCAATCAGCGGGTCATTGTGAAGCTTAGCACGCTTGGCACGCTTCAGCTTCTTAGCACGGGTCTTGGCTTTTGCCTTGGCCCGCTCCATGGCGTTGGGCACATGATCGTCGACGTCACTTGCGGCGTCGTACACAACCATCTCAGCGTCGGGCTCGGTCGCGAGGTGGAACACGCCGCGGTCGACCAAATCGGCCTCGTAAACGACGCTGACGTCGCCATCGCTTCCATCGACATCGGGCGTCCGCGCCAGATCCAAGACGGCGATACGCTTCCGCTTGCGCCTCCGCTTCATGCGGACTGAAGGAGACGGTGACGCACCACCGGGCAACGACGAGACGTCGATGACGACAGATGAGCTGCCAGCGCGCAGGTCGGCATCGGCCTCGACATCTTCTAGAGCCGAGTTGTCCAAGTCGACCACGTGGCACTCTGCATGCTTCAGCTGAGCCTTTTCAGCCCTTCGCTCAGCCCGGATCTTTGCCCGCTCAACCTTGCGGGCCCTCCGAGCCTTCTTCGCCTCGAGCTTTGCCAGCAGCTCCTCTGCGTGCTTCTCCTTGCGCGCCGCCGTCTTCTTGGCCTTGAGCGCCGCTGCATACGCGCGCCGCTTCGCCTCCTTGGCCTCCTTGGCAGCACGGGTCTCATCTACATACGCTCTCACAGCTGCCGCCCGTTCTCCAGCCCATCGTCCACCCGCCGATTCACCACCATTCCCGCCACTTGCGCCCGCCAACACGTCTCCGCGCCACCGCCTCGGACCTTCATCACCAGCCATGACCTCACCCAATGCGCCTTCTCTCCTTGTCACTCACTCTCCTTGCAAATACCCTGCTCTCCTCCCTTGGTCTCGTCCGTTGGCTCTCCAAGGAGAAGTGGTAGCCCCTGCCTCTGCCTCTGCCTTTGCCTCTGCCTCTCCTCTCTCCTGCTCAACTCGGCCACCATCATCACTTGCTGCCACTTTGCACTACTTTTGACAGCCGAATTGAGTGACATTGATGATGCCCTTGCAAGGCGCTCGCGGATGATGTACACCGACCGACAGCATTGCATAGCATTCGATGATATGCTCTGATTCCCGGTTGTACACCTCCTCCACACACACATACACACATACACATATATACCGTATCATCTACCTCGCTCTCTGATCCGAGATTTGCGCCTCGATGACTACCGGAGAGATAGGTCGGGCGTCCGGATCGGCCTACACAAGCTGCTGTGGTCTGGACGCAAAGTGCTCAAGACAAGACTGATCAAAGGTAGCCACTTACCGCTCCGGCATTCGTCCGATGGCGATGCCCGTGCCAAACATGCCAATCATGAAGAGGACGGCTAGAGGACAGCGGTGGGTGATGATTGATTGGTCCGACAATGAGTCGAGTCGGGTCGAGTCGAGTCGGGAGGGACAGGAGCAGTAGACGGCCTCCGACACCCACATCACTCTCACAACAACGATGGTGTTCTTTGTGTGTAGCAACTGCGGTGACTGGTACGCCAGATGAAGTCCTTCTTCCCACAGCTATCTCTCCCCTTGCCTCCCTTGACTCGATAGCTTGTCCAGTGTCCGTACATGGTGGTTCGGCTTGCCTGCCACTACCGCCACCCAAGGATGGATGGGAGGATCCGTGGCGAGGCACATGGCGCCAGCCTGACCCCGTCCATGCTCGCAGTATTGACACACACACCCCAAGTCAATCGATCCCTCCTCATAGTCATGTACAAGACGATACCATCGCAACGATTGTTGAGTCTGGGTGTGACTTGAGCCATCCCGTCGACGTGACTAGCCTCTTTCAACAAATCTTCCTCAAGCGGTCTATGCCCCTCCCCCCCCCTTCCCCCACTACTCACACGCTCACTCTCTCCCTCTGTCTCGCTTGCCACACTCATGATCGTGCAACTCATCGCTTGTTTCGGTTGGACGACGGATGGATGGGACAACGTGAACAAATGCTTTTACAGCCTCAAAAAGTCCGCGGTCGATAAGCACTGTTACCGCTGCAACCCGGACTCGGTCTCGTGCATGGACTGCAACTCGACGTTCTTCGGCAACGATTACAAGTCGCACACAAAGTGCATCTCTGAGAGCGAAAAGTACAAGTTTGCCAACGGCCGCAAGCGCAAGCCGGCATCGGCGCCGACGCCCACCCCACCGCCGGCCAAGAAGCCCAAGGCTGCGGCCAAGAAGCCCAAGGCCTCTCCGGCCGCCGCCAGCACCGCTGCTACTGCAGTGACTTTCCGCTGGAAGACTGCACTCCGCCGCGCGCTCCGCGCTGGCCCGATGACCAAGGATGCACTGCGGACAAAGGTTCTTGCCACCATCGCCGCCGCGGTCGCCAATGGCAAGGTTGTCCAGGGCTCAGCCCCGTCTGTCTGCGACGCCCAGTTTGACGCCAAGCTCGCTCGCAACCTGATGAAGAACCGCATCTCGCAGCCGACCGACGACACCTACGTGTGGGGCGCCTCGGCTGCTCCGTCGGCTGCGCCGTCTGCCGCACAGTCATCGGACTCGGACTCGGACTCGGACTCGGACGCGAGCTCTGCTGCCGCCGATGCCGCTGCCAAGAAGAAGTCGTCCTCCTCCTCCTCCTCTTCCTCCTCCTCGTCGTCATCGTCGTCGTCATCATCATGACTCGGCTGTGTTGGCCTCGCTTCTACTAGCACCGCCATCCTTAAAACTCGACAAAGATCGAAAAGTCACGGAACTCGAGGTAGTCGTGGCGGGCGTGGATGGTGGCGTCGGGGAAGACAGTGGCCAGCCACTGGCAGATCTCGTCGTAGTCGTAAAAGGCAAAGCCCGGGTAGGACTTCATGTGGCGCTGCGAGAGCATGTTAAAGTACATGCCACGGCGGGAGAGCCTGCCCATCTTGACGACAAACGGCTTGGAGACCTTGTCCCACAGCTTGGCGTCGCCGATGGTCATGCAACCCGAGCAGACGTAGTAGTCGGCGGCGACGCCTGCATCCGGGTCCAGGAAGTCTTGCACCACAAACTTGGGCCTTGTCTTGTCTTTTGGCCCACGGACAACCTTGACGTCGGCGAGGACGGGATAGCGTTTGAGGAGCTTGCGGAGCTGACCACCACGGACCAGGCCATGCCGGACATTGGCGGTCCTTACCATGACCTTGGACACATCGATACCAATATACCGCATGTCGACAGCTGGTGCGTTTTTGCGAACATACTCAAACAGCGCGCCTTGACCGCACCCAACATCGACCACTTGCTGACCATCCAGCGCGTGAAAGCCATCGGTATAGTTAGCGAGGACGTCGAAACGAATCTCCTGGCGCTCAAGCGAGGACCACTTGGTGGCAGCAAAGGAGAAACCCAACTTTTCAGCCTCTGCATCATACATGTTCTTGTTGTACTCGCCCAGCTTTCGCCGAAGCTCTTCCAAATCATCCGGATCAGACCATCCGACAACGTCACGGACATACTTTGAATCCGTCCTGCCGCCACCGGCTGACATGCTCCGCCATGCCACCACTACCGCCAGCAGCGCCACTGCCGCCGCCACCACCACAGACACAGTCACAATGGGTATTCTGCCCTGCACCTGCGCCAGACTGCTGCTATCATTCTTGCCCATGCTCTGGCTCTGGCTCTGGCTCTGGCTCTGGCTCTGGCTCTGTCTCTGTCTCTTCCTCCCCATCGCTTTCGTCAGAGACAGGTCTGCCAAGTCCGCCTACCGGCTAGCTAACCGGGGTAGCAGCGAGCTCACTGTCCATCGGTCGGCGACGGTTTGAGGATAACGTCGCCAAGCTCACCGCACTCGCCTCCATCGACAGGACCGTCGCCGTCACACCGATCGTACTGCTGCCAAGACCGACATCAATATCCATCTTGTCATCGCCGACGACGGCTCTGTTCTCGAGAGCGAGTCGATCATAAACCGCCCGCCGTTGTCGGCCGGAACGCTGGGCAGCCGATCGGTGGCTCCGGCACATTCTGCTCCAATCGCACCTCGCTAAGATCACACACTACCGCAGAGTAGGACGCAGCTTGGAATCGGCTACTGGGTTTAAAGCGGGTAGACTCGGTTTTGATCGCGGATTCATACTGAGCAAGCTGCACATAGACACGAACGCTATACCTGAGCCACAACCTGCACCTCGAGCTAGAAGCCTTTGAACAACGCCATGAGAATGACGTCGTCAAGCATCGGTTCGCCGTCGATCATAGTGATCGCCACCAGCCGCTTTTTATCCTCGTCGCGGAATAGAACTGCAGCTCACAAGCCTCGTCTCCCCCGATCATGTACACTCTTCACTCGCACAGAAGCACAACTTCCACCGTGGTCATACTGCTACCCGCTCTACACATTTAGTTACATGTAGTCTTGTTGATTATGATGGGCTACATGTTGTTCGTGTGTGTGTGTATATCATCATCCAACCTGCCTGCCGCTTATCGCTGATCACACATTCTCATTGTTCACTCATTGGCCACACCTGTTTGTGCATTGGCGAAAGAGATCGGGCCGGAGTCGACTAAAGTCTGGACTTCAGAGGTGACGACAACATCACGGATGCGATGGAGCTCGGCTTTCTCGACACGGACCTCATCTTGCGGCCGGAGCCGCCCGGAGGATTCGTCAAACTCAATCCACTCATACGCAGGTGGCTGCTGAACAAGATCGGCGGCAAGCTCAGCGATAGCTCTCGAGCTGCGGCGGCGACGCGGCGGGGAGGCCGCAGCTCGAGAGCTGCGGCGGCGACGCGGTGGTGAGGCTTGCGTCGATCGGCGGGCACGGTTTGGAGCAGTACGGGCACGCGGCGGCGAGGCTGGAGTGGCAGAGCCGGCAGGACGGAGCCGGCTGGGTGCTGCGTCGTCCAAATCGGCGGCGTCGAGGTCGCCGTCGATGACTACGCCGCGGAAGATGGAACGGCGGCCAGCCACGTGGGCGCGTGTCGGCGCCAGCAGACCTTCGACAGAAGGGACAATAACTCGGGCACGGTGCGGGAGCTGACTACCGCTGTCGCTGGCGCCGCTCTCGGTATCGGACTCGTCGTCAGACCGCGGCATGTCTGGTGGTAGATTGTCTTTGGCCTCGGTCAGGTTCCATTTGGCCGGCTGGCCAAAGGTGCCGATGAACCCGAGGCCGCCGGCACCGGGGCTGACCCGCCAGAGGCGAGCCCGAGAGTCTGACGCCCCCGAGACTAGATAGCCCGAGTACCGCTTGCGCCGCGAAGAAACGATTTGTAGTGAGACAAGCGGGACGTCCCATGCATGAGCCTGGACAAGCGCGACTAGGCCAGCGTCGACCGACCACCGCATGGCACCCGGATCCGAGCTCACCCGCAACGAGTAGACCCCGATCCGCCCGCGCGAGTCACCTACAAACAGCATCGAGAGCATCGGGTCGTATGCGACCGCCTTGACCGATGTTTCAGCCTCGGGCGGCCGCCGAGTCGTCACTGGCGGCATCTTGGTATCCCACAGTTGCCAAATTCGCACGATGCCGTCGCCAGAGCCAGCGGCAATCGCCGGCAGCGCACCGCCAGCTTTGGCCCTACTCGGCGGCTCGACAAAGGTCATGGCGCCAATCGACGCTGCGTCAAGCGCCGCGACATGGTCGAGAACGCCTGCAGCGTGCGACGACTCGACGAGCTCGCGATGCTCGGGCGCCTGCATCCGTTGCAGCTCCCGCTGTGAGTTGAGGTTCCACACTACAATCTCGCCATCGTACGCTGCCGACGCCAGCAAGTTGGGCGGGTAAAACTCGCAGCAGAGTACGTCCTCACGGTGTGGCTCGTCGTGCCCTCCAAGACCACCAAACTCGCTCGTCCCTCCGCCATCGTACTCGTACTCGTACTCGTATTCGTCGTCCTCCGAGTCCTCTTCCCACGCCACGGTTGATGCAAGCAAACTGCTCCGCCGCGGCGTCGGAGACGCCTTGCCTGCAGTTCGTGCGCGCATCGCCCGGGCACGGGCTCTTGTTTCCGCTCGGGCGCGGGCTTTGGCCTTGGCCCAGCCAGACGATGAGACGTCGACGCCATGCTCAGCGGCAGCCCGAGATCGGCGCGCTCGGCGCGCCCGGCGAGACGCACTCTCGCCAGCACTCTCGCCATCGTCGTCAAACACTCCGCCATGCGAGGGAAGCTGCTTCCACACATACGCGTCGGCATCGAGCTTCGTGTCGCGCCACACCGCCAGTCGCCGTGACCAGCCGACGGCGATCACATACTTGTTATCCTCGGTCGGTCGCAGCGTGGTAAGCAACTCGTGAGCGGCCTTGCGCGACGTCACCCGCGCCACTTGCTCCATCACAAACGTGTTGTGGGCCGAGTGCTGATGCGCAAAGGCAAGGTCCGAGACCTCGGCCGAGTCAATGTTGTGCAGCTCTTTGAGGAACTTGCCGTTCATAAAGTTCCAGATGAAGACTTTGCCCGTCCGCGATGCCGTCGCAATCCGAGTCTTGTTGCACAGAATCATGGCGGTCAGCGGATCGCCGCGCGTCGCGCCGGCAAACTCCTTGATCTTGGTCCCGGTTGTCACCGACCACACCGCTACCGTTCCGTCCTCGGATGCAGTCACCACATTGCCAAAGTACGGCTCGTGAACAACTGTCACCAGCGGCTGATAGTGGGTGATGTCGAGTGCATGCTCGCGCTTCTGGACCCGCGAGAACGAGTACAGCTCGTTCGACGACGCCACAATCCGCCGCCGCAGCCGATCCGGCAGCAGTTGCGTGACCGCGTCTGGTGGGCCATCCATGCCATGCCGCCGCCACTCCTCCAGATTGCCCAGCTCGACGCCGGCAAATGTAGCCAAGCAGTTGCTCACTCGAATGTCCCATACCTTGACCGTGTTCCCAGTGTCGAGCGAGAGAAGCTGGTAGTCGTTGAGACCCGGAACAACCTTGGCAATTGGTGCCGTGTGGCCGGTAAACACCAGCAGCGGGTCGGTCAGAATCGACGGCTTCCACACTCGCAGTCGTGTGTCGCGCCCACCGGTGGCCAGAAACGGGACCTGGCTCAGAGTTGTCCATGTGGCCACCGAATGCACACCGCCCGGAACTGCCCCGATGCGAAACGGGCCAGGCGCGCCGTCAGGCCGCACGCTGCCGACCACAAGCGACGTGTCCGGCAAGTCGTACGCTGCCGCAAACTCGCATGATGCGCTCGGCAGGAGCACAAGGCCCTTCATCCACGCCTCGTCATCACTCACAGGTAGCGCAATGTGCGAGAGCGAGGTTGGAACGTCTCCGGCACGAATGGCGCGCACGTCGAGCGCATGGCCCAGCCCGCGATCGTCGGTCATGACTGCAAGCTTGGAGAGGCCAAAGATCGAGACACAGCTGGTGTCGTCGCCAATTGCAAAGAGTGCCCGGTCTGGATCGCTCAGCAGGCTTGTGTAGTCGAGCGCGAGCGGAACGTTGGCCAGCGACGGGACTTTGTCGCGGAACGACATCGACGAGACCGCAGTCTCGATCTTGAGCCGGAACGACTTGAGCGGGCCGATCTTGAGCGTCGAGACCTCGTCAAAGCCCAATATGGTGTTGGTTCCTTCAAGCTTGTACATGTGGACTCGAAAGTCATGAGCGCCGAGAGCAAGCGTCTCAAAGTCGGAGATGTACGTGGCGCAAGTAACCCGCGGAGCTGAAGCCGGAGCATGAACCGTCAGCACCCGCTCGAGAGTCGTTGTCTTGTAAGCAGCAAGCGTGCCGTCGCTGGCCACTGCCATGTAGTTCTTGAATGTCGGCGCGTAGAACATGTGCGCAATCGGCGCGGCCAGAGGGTACTTTGGTGGCGGCGGCGGCGGATCGCGAGCAAAGGTGGTGGCTGCGGCCTCGCCGGCGGCCGATGAGCCGCCGGCGTCAAGGGACTCGGGGACTTCACCAAGCATGCCCGCCGAGGTCGAGATAAAGTGGTCGATGAACTCTTGCGCGTCAACGGTCCCGTCTTGGTTGGCGTCGATCTTGTGGAAGAGCTCCTCAACCTTGTCTGTGTCCACGCCGAGATCTGTGCCCAGAATGGGACCAAAAGCATCGACAAACTCACCGAGGTCTAGCCCACCCGATTCGTCCTCATCAGCCTCTTCAAACTTGAGAATGGCGGCCTGGAGCGAGGAGATGCGGACGAGTGACTCGACGTGGAGCTCGTCCATGTACGATGTGAAAGGCTGCAGCGAGGCATACGAGGCCCGCACATTGGTTGGCGCTGCTGGAGGCGCCACAAACGAGCTCACGTCAACCATCGAGTCCTGCCGCCGCACCTCGCCTCCGTCTGCCAAGCTACCGCTTCCGTTGCTGTGGCTCGCGGCCAGTTGCTTGCCCGTCACCAGCGCCCTCAACGACGCCTGCGACTTGCTCCGCAGCACCGCCCGCGACTCCGACAGTCGCAGCGAGCTCAGCTGTCGCCTCGACTTACCTCTCCGCATGGCGGTACTCTCAGTGAGTTTCAGAGGGGTGTGTGACGTCTAGCGACGACTACATGGCTGTGCGTAGCTGTTCGCGCCGTGAAGGGGAGCGGAGCGGCGAGGGTGGCGGCCAGGGCAAAAAAAAGTAGTCCACAGTGGTAATCGAAACCACAGCCTTCTGTTCCGTAGACAGATGTCATGCCACTAGACCATGCGGACGAGTTGAGAGAGAAAGGGAAATCTACACTATTTGAAGCGTGCTTTGCTTTGCTTCGGAGAAAGAGCAGGGTGGCCACCTGGACAAAAAAAGTAGTCCACAGTGGTAATCGAAACCACAGCCTTCTGTTCCGTAGACAGATGTCATGCCACTAGACCATGCGGACGAGTTATTTGGAGCGGTCAATCTTCAGTACTTGAATGGTACACTACTTTGCATAAGCAACATGAGCAGGGTGCCGAGCACGGCAAAAAAGTAGTCCACAGTGGTAATCGAAACCACAGCCTTCTGTTCCGTAGACAGATGTCATGCCACTAGACCATGCGGACGAGGGTGACTACGTCTCCACATACGGTACTTGACGGCTACATCGCATTGCTCATGCTATCAGTGTTGTCCGCAAGCGCACACGTACCGTGCAGTTTGCTGGAGCAAGCAACCCAACAGTACCACTAGCTCAATGCCCGGAAGGTGGGTGTTGGCGTTGCCTGGATGGAGGGGCAGCATGCCGCCTGCGTGAACTCGAGTACGAGCCTAAACCTCATACCTAGCGGTCAGAGGAGCAGTGCAACAGCCATCTCCCTGGCAAAGGCAATAATCCATGCGATGTCCTCCCACGTGTGCATCGAGTCAAAGTCGCAAGTCGATGGTGAAATGTGCGACGATGACGATCGCAAACACGGCGCGTGGACGTGAAAGCAACGCAACGCAAACGGCCAAGATGCGAGCAAACACTTGTGGAACATGCGCAGCAGCAAGTACAGGAGCAGCAACCCAGAGCAACTGGAAGAACAATGTATGGCTCATGACGCAAAGGTACGCAGCAGTCTGCGACGAGTCCATTCAGCTCATGGTAGGTGACCGGGCCGGGGGGAGAAGGTTGAGGACAAGGTTTTTGGCAAAATGCCAGGTGTGGAGAGCGACCTGAGGGAGAAGCCGCCAGTCACAGCCAAGTAGCGACGAGCCACCAGCAACGAGACTCACACCATCCATCGCTGTACCCTTACGACTTCAATCTATCTTCCAAACCATGTTCTTCTTCTCCGTAGAGCAGTGTTCTAACGATGCTGAACTTGGGGCGGCAACAGCCACTCGAAAGGCGCCAACTATCTCCCCCCCCCCCGCCCAAGTCTTGGCCCCGAGTCCTGCCTGCGAGAGGCCTCATCTGAATTGGATTGGCATGCCCACTCTCTAGCTCACACTGCGGCTTGGACTGCTGCTGCCGATCCATGATCAGGCGCTAGACGTTAAAGTAGTGGCCTTTGACGGGCTGGGGGAGAGTGCGGCTGCTCCTGGCTGGCCTTGGCTTGATCTTGGGGCGATCTCGGCCGATGGGAAGCCGGGAGGGTGGGAGAGGGGGGAGGATGGGGTGCGTGGCAGCTTGCTGCTCAAAGGTTCATTACGGTGAGGAGGATCAGATGTGGCGGATGCCAAGGCCCTCGACACAGCTCTTGTAGCGGACGAGCGAGGTGCGCTTGAGGTACTTGAGCATCTTGCGGCGCTTGTTGAGCATGGCCTGGAGGCCCTTGCGCGAGTGGACGTCCTTCTTGTGCTTCTGCATGTGGGTGGTCATGTACTTGATCTTCTCACTGAGGACGGCGATCTGAACCTCGGGCGAGCCGGTGTCGCGGGTATCCCGGGCCCAGGTGGCAATGGCCTTCTGGATCCGAGCCTGGTTGATCTCCATCTGCGAGGCGGTGGCGTATGAGATGGCCGACATGACGGCAGGGTTGTTCTTGTACGGCTCGACAAGCTCCTCGGTCACACCGAAGCGGTACTCTCCCTCGAGGTCGGCAGGCATGCGACCCTTGGCTGCCGCGTCCTCGGCCTCCCGTCCGCCGAGGGCATGCCACTTGAACTCGGCGTCCTCAAACAAGCTATCGTCCTCACTCTCGGCATCAGCAGCCTTGCCTGCTGCCGTGTCCTCGTACGGTTCCCGCGTCAGACGCGTCTGGAACCCGCGGAGGCCGCCTGAGAGCCGGCTCCGCCCGCCCTTGCCACCGCCGCGACAGCCGCTGCTCCAACCCGCCCTGCACACCCAGCCACACCCATGCTTGCCCCTACTGCTACTCCTGCCATGCGGAACATTGTGCCCTTCCTCTCTACCCAAGTCTGAGAGTCGAGTCTAAATGCCTCCTTCTACTTCGTCTGTCTGCCTCGGTCCGGTCCGCAAGTGGTGGGATGGGGCACTGCGCCGCGTCGGCCGACGAAACGAGTGAACGATCTCCGTCTCGGGGCCGATGGACAAGGTGGGTAGAGGAGGGGGAGATAGTGGGCGGGAATAGGTTAGGTATGGTTTATTGGTACCTAATGCCGGGCGAGGGCAGGTATCACACACACACACACACAAAGCCGGTAGTGGCCTGTGGTAACGGGAAGTGAGCGGGTGTGGCCGGGAGTGTGGCAAACGATCGACTACCTGCGCTCGCGCGAGCGCTCGCGACGACGGGGATCGTACGCGGCCTGTGGATGACGCTGCTGCTGCTGGCCATAGGCTGCATATCCGCCGGCGGCCGGCGGCTGCTGCGTGGCCTGCTGGCCGTATCCGGCAGCGCTGTACGGCTGCTGCTGACCGTAGGCCGGCGCCGCGGCAGGCTGACCCGCGGCTGCCGGCTGTTGCTGCTGCTGCGAGTAGTTGTAGTTGTACGGAGAGACGCCATAGTAGGCCTCGTACGCCTTGGCGTACTCATCGTATGTGGCGTAGCCGTAGTACGGGCCCGACCCGGCGGCGCCGGTAGCAGCCGGCTGCGCGGCCGGCTGCTGAGCAGGCTGGGCGCCGTAGCCAGTGTAGCCGGTGCGCTGAGCGCCACCGCGTGCAGCGTAGCCGCCCTGAGCACCATAGCCGCCCTGGGCACCATAGCCGCCCTGGGCACCATAGCCGCCCTGGGCACCATAGCCGCCCTGGGCACCGTAGCCGCCGCGGCCGCCGCCGTAGCCGCCGCCGCCGTAGCCACCTCTATCCCTGCCACCACCACCGCCGTAACGATCACCCCCTCCTCCCTCGCGATCACGCCCGCGCCTCCCTCCGGTCGACGGCCGGACCGTGGCTGAGATGCCATTCACCATGTGGGTGCCTACCTGCAGCGCCGCTGCGGCTGACGCTCCATCGCTAAAGATCACAAACCCATAGGCACGGCTAGGATCGTTCTGCTGGGGAATAACCACTGTTTCGTCAATGTTGCCGTACTGCGCAAAGGCGGCATGCAGGTCGCCCTGCGTCACAGCGGGCGTCAGGCCACCCACGTAGATCTTTCCTGGGTTGTCGACCCGCACAGCCTCGCCACGCCGCGGCGGAGGCGGTCGCCCGTCACGCCGCATGTGCTCGCGCGCCACAGCCTCCTTCACTTCGATCTGTCGCCCGTCAACGTCCGAGTGGAGCCCAAGGTTGGCCTCGGCAGACGGCCGGTCGGCAAAGATGACAAACCCGAATCCGCGCGACTTGCCCGTCGTCTTGTCACACATCACAAGCGCGTCCGCAACGTTCGCTCCACGCGACCGAAAGTATGCTCCCAGCGACTCTATAGTTCACAGCGTGAGTGGTGGCGGCTCGAACGCACGGCACGTGCGCGACCCTGCTGTGATCGCGATCGTGATCGCGACCAGCGCAGGTGGCCGGCCGAAAGGGGGGGGGGGAAGACGAGGAGGGGGGATAGAGATACGTACCGTCGGTCGTGTTGTAGGAGAGTCCGCCCACAAAGGTCTTGACCACGCCAGCTGTGGTTGTGGGGAGGTATGTGAGTGGTAGTTGAGGGGGAGGAAGGGAGATCCATACGTGGCGGGAGCAGAAGGTCGTGAAATCCTGACCTTGGGCCAAGTGGCGGAGAGCGGGGGAGGGAGGGGGGA